AGACTATATACCTATGCTATGTGCATGAATATCTACCGGTGAGTGTTCACCGGTGTGAGTACACAGTCATATTATGTTGCTATTGGACAAAGATTATTTATGTAAAGTCAAAATGTTTACCTTTTATACTTCTCCGGTTGTACTGCGATGCTGAGAAAAGGTCCATCAGTTGGTGTCGTTGGAGCCGTCGCCGCACTACTTGTTGATGCCACTGGTTCGGCCGCACTGAGGAACGTGTGTCTCGTTTAGAATTAGTTTCTGTTATTCTCTGACGCGACACTCTTTCGTGTCGTGCGTACAAAAACATAATATTACATGCACATCACAACTGTATAGATACTAGCGACCTGCCCCGGCTTCGCACGGGTTCAATATTCATGTATTATACCCTTCCTTAAGAATCAAATCACTCTATCTATTAAAAAAACCGCATCAAAATCCGTTGCGTAGTTTTAAAGATCTAAGCATACATAGGGATAGACAGACGGCAGATAGCGAATTTGTTTTATCCTATGTACTGATAGTGATGAGCCATATTTTCGGTATTATCCTGAAGGAAAACTAGGCAAACGCCTAGGGTGTTAGGTTGTCGCGGAGAACCTAACGGGTAACCGGGGCTCCGGCTCGACGTGCAGGAGAAGGAACGGGGTGGTTTTTAGTCAGTAAGAGTCTGACACTCCCTCCCGCCTCACCAGGCGGGAGCAGTCATTCGATGATTTTCCGCCCTTAAAAAAAATATAAAAATAGGGTGTTTGGTTATAAAGGAGCGCCGCGAGTGTCGAGTACCCAGCTGAAGTAAGGGCGCCTACGAGATGATTGCCTAGGCGCTCTCTAGTTTGCCGTCTCAGATTTGTACACCACTAGTAGTGAGTCCCGTGCAACAGATCTGAGCCTATAACAACCCCTCTCGCTCTATAATAGCGTTTGCTGTATCTAGGCTTGCAGGTTTTCCCGAAAGTCGACGTCACTCACATTTTTTTTATTAATCGACATGATTCAAATCATTGCCATGTTTATCATATAAATTACATAAATATACATAATGAATAATGACCTACATATGTGAACTGTCATACTTCAAGTGATGCTTTGATAACATGTATATTGTATAATTGTTTCGTTTTAAAGTCTTATGATTATAAACCCTCTCTCGGCAAGTAAAAATATCGATTTCAAAATCAAAGTTACTCAAAGCGCTCCAGGCAACCGTAGTACAGGCAATTAGAGTGGGTAAAATTAGGTAACTATTTCATTTTCGAAATATATAACACTTACCTATTGCTTTGGCTGCCTTCCGGATAGCTCATAGATCTACGGGTTGGGTCAGGTCTCGACATGATGTTGCCAGGTGACGAAATATTTCAAGAAAGAGTACACAATGCTCTTTTCGATCCTTCTTCTACACGACGAGGAAACAAAAGCCTGTTTAGATAATAACATATTTTTTATGGAATAGGAGGCAAACGAGCAGACGTATCACTTGATGGTAAGCGATCAGCGCCTTCCATGGACACCTGCAACACCAGCGGAGTCACAGGTGCGTGGCCGGCCTTTGATTTTGATATTTACATAATAACTCGATGATTTATCTGAGATATATACGAACGGAAGTGGACTAGGTGCACACCTAGCCTATCTGACTACCTCCTTTCACATTACTAAAATGACCGTGGGTTAATTTTCTATAGGAGTTTCCAGTACCTATTAGAGCTTTACCCTGTTGCCCCACTCGGTGAAACTCCCTGAGTCTCTTTGTATGTTCGGCTGTAATATTTGCGACTGCTGTTGCTGAACCAAGTAAACTATTACTGGGAATTTTTCTAATCTGACCTTATTATCTGTTAGTATGTTTGTTTTGAGTGTCGAAGGTTGACTGATAAGGGAGAACTCGCGGTTCGCTTGCAGTTTTATTGAGTTAGTAACAAGTTTTGAAGCACCCACTACGTCCAAATCTAAAGCTTAAGTGGCGAGTTGTCATTCGACGTGGAGAATAAAGGGGGAGTAAGGGCATTGTTCAGTAGGAGACTTATTTCGGTTGGTGATGATGATAATGATAGCAAATATCTAATCGCTATTGTAACGAAACTAAGTTTCATTTCGCTTGATTTTAGTGTCTGGCTCTGGACAAATCAGTTTAGCAGTAGTTGGTCTGCAGTAACCTACAGTCTCCACTGAATGGTCATTGGCTTTGACTTTTAGAGATTATCGAAGTAGGTACCTATGCATTGGATACCTAAGTAGAAACGTTGAAATTTCCTTGTCTTTCTATGGTACTTTCTGTCAAACTTCTCTATTAGATTTCTACTTTAGATGTACTTATTACTGCTAAAATGGAAAATCCCATAAAAAAGATTGACAGATTGGAATAGATTGATCTCTAGGCACTGTACTTATCTCCGGAGTCTAAGATTTTTTAGCTTCATCTAATTTATGATGATGTCTGGTTATAAATGCTTAGTGGGCGTGGATCTTTATAATTAGTGGCTCGTCGATGAACTTAAGGAGATAGAAGCGATTGCAAAGTTAAAATAAAGGTCATGTTTAGGTACGTAGCTACTGATAAACTGAAAGACAACTAAGTATGTATCATTACGTAGACATTGCGAACTGCCTTCGATTTCCGAGAACAGGGCAGGGAATTTCGAGTAATATTTGTTTAGTGCCTAACTATTGTGAGACATACTAGGTATTTTTAATACCAGATTATTCACCGTAGGCTGCGCGACGTCGTCGCCATCGCGCACGCTGGTCATGAGAAAGGGTATCTTTCTGATTTGTAACTAGTAGAGCTTTTCTCAATATATTTACGTTAGTAAACCGTTGCCTGCAGTAAACAACTGCCTCGTTGGCCGAGTGATCGCAAGTGCGACTGCCGGGCAAAGGGTCTCGGGTTCGAATCGCGGGTCGAAAAAGTATTACTAGATTTTTAAAAAATCTCAGTAGTAGCATGGAGTCTGAAATTGTAATACCCGGTATATGGCAATAGGCTCATCCCCTATTACATGGGACTCATAACATAAATAGTGAAAAGTGGGTGTTACATTGTACAGTGGCATAATGTGCACCTCTGCCTACCCCTTCGGGGATAAAAGGCGGTGAGAAATAACCGTTATTTGAGAGTGAGAAGTAACCGTTATTTCTGGATAATTTAAGATTTTTGAGGATTCGGCAATTGTCAGTGGGTACCTACTTAGTTAGTTAGCATTGGGAGGGGAGTCTGGAATGGAGAATGTAACACCGTTACCGAGGCAAAGGTAACTGAATGTATAGGCGCCCCTCTGCTAATAACCTTTCGGAGATAATGATGTTAAATGGTTGATTTTTAATAATGCAGTTTCTATTTTAAATTCCTTATTAATAAGAGTTGTAAATCTAAAAATATTAACGAAACTAAACACTTATCGCATAAATGAATCCTAGCCACATCATACAGGAAACTACTCGATGTCATTGATATAGGTGGCTTTAGCAATAAACTATCATATACTTACTTTAGCCGAATATATGTCATAACTACATAAAAATAACTACGAGAATGAAGGTAATTAACATAGAATCGGTAAATATCACATGAACGAAGAAAACATCAACGCATTAAGATGTCAAATGGTACAATAAAGCGGTAAAAACATATATAATAAAAATGATAAGTACATTTTTTACTACTTACCTAAATATAACGATGCGCCGTAAAGTTGGATTGCTAATGTAGGTAATTTAGGTAAGTAATGAGATTAAATCGGTACTAAATATTCACAAAACACATTACCTATATCAAGAACACTTTTACAAAAATGATTTTTCATTAGTGCACACAAAATGTTCACCAACATGAATATTATTATTCTATTCTTAAATTAAACTAAAATAAAAAAATCTAAACACACACAATATTAATTTTGAAGTAATAAATACTGTACAGAGAGTACCGGTTGGTAGTCCAACCTATACTGACAACTGTGATGACACTCCGCTAAAGTCGAATTACTTATAATAGTGGTCCAGTAATGAATTAAGCGATAACACCCTAAATATACGCGCACTATACAGTTCAACCGGGTCAACCAATCAACTCTCCTCATTTTTAACCGATTTCCCAAAAAAAGAGAAGATTCTCAATTCGTATGTTTTTCTTTTTTGTTGTTTTTGTTATACTTACCCAATATTAAATCTCGCAGGGTTTCCTAAAACAACTTATCGTAAGAAAAGGGTTATGATCTTGGTGTTTGAATACGTACATTTCTCTATCAAGATTCTAACCAAATCAGAGTTCTCATATCGAAGCGTATTTAGCTTACATTTTACCTGAGAAATATGTAATATTAGGCATTAGTTTTACTGCATAGGGTGTATCATGTATGTAGGATTAAGTCGATTGTAACTGCTGGACAGGCAGGCAGGACAGGGACTGGCAGCTCGGCACTGCGTTGTCTAAATCTAAACCGTGTACAAAAATTACTTGTGGACCATTGTGATTAAATTTAAATTGCTATTCGTAGAATCATCCAAATATTTTGACAAATGTAAAGTTTGGCGCGGGTTGGGAAGAAAGGTAGAAAAAATGTAATGAAAATCTCGATTAGGTAAACGAAATACAATTTTGAACATTCGATCGATGTATTGAGTGTGTAATGTATTTTTTTTTAAGGGGAAAAATCATCCAAAACTGCTCCCGCCTGGGTGAGGCGGGAGGGAGTGTCAGACTCTTACTTATTAAAAACCACCCCGTTCCTTCTCCTGCACGTCGAGCCGGAGCCTCGGTTACCCGTTAGGTTCTCCGCGACTCTGAATCGGCATCGGCCCTGTTGGGCCCCATCTGTGGTGGTCTGATGGCTCTTTGAGGCGCCGTAGCGTCTCTCAAGCCACTCCTCAAAGAGGATAGGTACTTACCGCTGCAATGGCAGCGAGCCCAGAGTGTGTAATGTATAGGATGTTCAGTACAGTAAATCATTCGATATTTAGTGATAATCAGTGTTGGGTGCTCACGATCTGCCTAACTTTTGCTGAGTTGGCAACTATTTTGATATACTTATATGATACCGGCATTAAGTCCGCCATCGTATGATTATTATACAGAAGTGTAAAATAAATAAAATATAGGCATGTTGGTTGCATATTCTGCATAATATAATAATTGATTATTGTATGTACCTCTATTGTTATTATATTTTTTTGTTATGTTTATTTTTTCTTTTGTTAGGTACTTTGTGTGTTGTTCGTTGTAGTACCTAATTTGAGGAAATGTAGTTTCATGTTTTAATTTTAAATAAGCATTTTAGAGCGTCAAGAAAACAGTAAGCCTTGCTTTTTGTGTGCAACAAATCTGTTTGTTTATATTTATTTGTAACATTTTCTTTTTCATACTTATTTACATTTAATCAGGACTAAGCCTTAAGTCAGGGCGTACCTACCAAGGCTCGGGTGCCCGGGGCGGTAGACAATTTTGCTGCCCTCTTATTTAGGTACTTATTTCAATTAACATTATTTACGAAACCTGACAAGTATCAATATGTCTGCGTTACTATATAGTAGGTTAGGTACCTACTGTAAACTGATATATACCGTTAGTTGTGTGTGTGTATCTAGATAAGAAGCTACTACCAAACAGCTATTAATAAATAAGTAGGTACTACCCAAAGTCGTATTTTTATAAGACCTAGTAAACATCCACAAATAACTGTGATTAAGTAAGTAAGTATGTGCAAATGCGACGCCTGAGTAGTGACTAGTGAGCAAGGTTGTTTTCTACTTCTGAGCAAAATATTTGTATTATTACGGTTGAAAACCGTGAATTCCCAAAAATCCAACAATACAGGGTGAATTCGGAATACATTTATTTAGTCAAAAAAATATCGGGAATGTATGATTTGTTTATGGTTCCAAATTCAATTTTTTGTTTCTTTTTTCTATGTTTTTTTTTCTGTCTATCAATTTTAAGCCTTTAACTGGAATTAAAAACTGTTGAAAGCAACTCCTCCTGTAACTGTAACGGCAGTTATCATTGACCAACATGGCGTGTATGTGTTGATTGGTTTTTACCAACTTCAAACAAAAGAAGGTTCTCAGTTTAACCTGTACCATAGTATGTACCTATGTATGTTTGTGCGTGATTATCACGCGACCGGCTGAGCTGATTTTGATGCGATTTTCAGAAGTGTTTTTTTACTAAGTGTAAATCAATTAATAAGTTTAGTAGATCAATTAACCCCCTCCCAGGCGGAAGAAGTCCTTCGATGATTTTCCCCCTTAAAAATAATAGTAACAGACTTCAAAAAAGTTAGTCTAATCAATTTTTTTAAACGTAGTTTATGAAAGAACTACTTATTACCATCACCTGTCTTCGTTTTTTGGTAGCGTTACATTTACATCAGGGTGTATACAGGTATAGGGTAAAATTTTAAGAAATTGCTACGCTTTCTCAGTCAACTTTCGTTTACCAAACTTTTTCTTTTATAACATGACACAAAGGTCAACATTTTCCGACCAGAGAAAAATAATTTAGGTACAGAAAAAAAAATTGACTGACATAAAAAAAAACACTTTTGAAATTCGAATCGACTTGCCGCCTTTTTGTGACATGGAGTATTGCGTTTCTTAATTTTCTGAGACGAATGACGATCGCGGATTTATAATAAATGTGCGAATGTTTTAAGTTTTAAATAATTTTATACCTATTAAGATACAATAAGGTTTTATAGTAGGGTATTTCGTTAACATTACGAAAATTTTATATACAGGTTTGGGAAAAACTAAGCAAGGTGTACCTACTTATAAGGCTCTGACACCCATGGACTTGTCGGTACGTATCATTGTGTTGATTTCTTTCACAATTTGATTACTTACGTTATTTAATATTTACGTATAGCTTCACATATAGGTACACTCAGCACAACTCTATTTACTATGCAGGTGAGAAAGTAATACTTTGACTGCCAATAAAGAACTGTTGAAGGTAAATCCTCTGCTAACGGTGCCGGTCACCGGTGACCCCCATGGCGTTTAACGTGTGAATATTGACTCTGTACAGAGACAGTAGCTATTATTATAGATACTAAATTATGTACCTAAGTAATTTCTAACTAAGCCATATCTTCAGTAATCATTGATTGGCTACTGAACCAACCAATGGTTGCTGAATCAATCTTTATTTTCTTAGTAAGTTTCCAGCTTGCTCACGTAGGTACGTGCATATAGTGAATACTAAGTAGCAGTGCTGACTGATGAGACTTTTTGTCAGTTTTTGTCGTCCTAATATTTGCCTAATATCATAAAAAGTACCTATGGAAATAAAGTCATTGAGGGAGCTATGTTCGGTTGGACGCTTTGTCTGCATGGCGAATAAATTATCCTTATATTATGAGCGTTTACACGACTCGTTAGTCTCGTCGAGCGGTTTCTATACAAACTTAGTGAAATGTTTTCAGCTATTTAAACCTTGATTTTACATATGAGGCCCACGTTTCAATAAAATCGGTTTAGTAGTAGTACTTTCCTTGTATTTGGACTTAAAAGTTTATATGTAACTTTCAGTTCATAAACGATTTTATTTAAGTATTGCATATCACAATGTTTCACTGAAGTGTTGACTTATCGAGAGCGAGTTATATTTATCCAAGTACGTATATACGTATATAGGTATACGTACTGTAGGTTCATTATTGCATCGCTTGTTGCAATTCGGGATTTGTACATCCTATTTCTTAACACTTACCACATATATAAATAAATCATTTAGCTTAGTAGCACACAAGAAAGGAGAAATAAAACTGTAATTTTTAAATAATATACTTTTATTGTATTTCTTTTTCTCAAAAAATATAACAAAACTGGCATTTTCAATGCTTTTTATGATTGCACAATTAGATCATTAATGTCGGGACCCTGTGGCGGGCTCATATTAGATACAATTATATCTAAACCAAAGTTGTATGATCGTAAATCCTTCTTCTTGCGTCTGAAACATATTTCAAGTCGTTATTCATGCAAACAAATAGTCTTATTTAGTAAAAAAATGTATTTTCCTCACATCATTAACACTTAAAATGTTTAATATTTCATGTACTTTTACAAAAGCTGTAATTTCAGAAAATAATTTCTAACTTCGACATTGAAAAGTAACCAATAAACGGCCATTTTCTAATGCTCCCATATACAAACAAAATTCACAAACAATTCAATACTTTTTCCTTTTATTTACAAACTATTTGGTAACAAATCATAACCAAAATAAGAATTTAATAATTAAATCTAAATCTTACATGAGAATGAAATCTTTAAATAAAGTCATTGAAACACAGATTTATAAAATCTCATCATTATTTATGTGAATAACTAATTAAACATTGTATTGTATCCAATACCGTGGATTTACGTAAAGAAGACTAAAGGAAGACTAATAGCTGTGCTATATACACAAAATATTACACATAATTATTGTGAAGATTTAGAAACAAGATAGAACCATGCAATTCAATTTTAATATTTTTTTCTTGAATAACTTTATAAGCACCTAATATGGATAATATTAGGTAAATAAGAATTTATCAATATTGATAAATATATACATTTTTACCCGACTTTCAGAAGGGTATGGTATTTCGATCACACATTAAATCATTTTAAAAATATCAAAAACATTGTGTACTTTGAAAATTTACTAAAAACATCTGAGTGAATAGATTTCGAACTGAAACAAATGTAACAAAATTATAAATCCACAGCCTTGGAATCATTAGCCACTAAAGTATTATTTCATTGTAACTTTATTTTAAATTATAAATCGCATGTCAATGTCGTAAAATATATCCAGATAGTCATTTCTAACAAGTAGAAACGGTATTGGAAATAATTATTTAGGCAGAATATAACATTTTATATACGAAGTTGCATTAAACGTAATTATTTTAAGATATTTACAAATGAATGT